GGTTGTTTTGACAAAATCCCTAGTATTTCTTGTGCAAGAGACAGATTGAATTGACGTAATTATATCTTCAATATTTCCACATATAAGACCTGCTACAATCATTTAAGTGAAAACATAACTATATCTCATTTTGTGCACAATGGACCACAATCCTTGTGGAATAAAAAGGCCTGGTTGTTTTGACAAAATCCCTAGTATTTCTTGTGCAAGAGACAGATTGAATTGACCACTTCTGGTTACATCTTTATCTAGGAGACGGAAGAATACCTAGTATTTCTTGTACAAGAGACAGATTGAATTGACCACTTCTGGTTACATCTTTATTTAGGAGATGGAAGTGTCCCATAATAATTCTCACATCGCAACATAATAAACACACATACTAAATCAAAATAAGAAAAACTCCCATCATCTCTCTTCATTCCTTCAGTTAATCTTTCTTCCTTTTTCTAATCCTCTGAACTCCACTTGTTGCCCCCTCTCTGTATCCCAGCACGTCTCAACAGTTCTCTTCCTCTCTTAATCACTATCCATTGGCTCCCTCCACATAATCTCCAGGATAAGCTATTGCTGATGACCATACAGTTGCATGTTCACAATCACAACATTGGCTCCCTCCACATAATCTCCAGGATAAGCTATTGCTGATGACCATACAATTGCATGTTCACTGTTGCAACATTGGCTCCCTCCACATAACCTCTACGATAAGCTATTGCTGACAACCATACAATTGCATGTTCACAGACAACACTAAACAATCAATTAATAAGGTTGAAATCGCCAAGCACAGACTAAGTTTGAGATGTGAATCCAACAAATCTCAAGATCTCAATTCAATAACAACTTCAGCTCATAACTAAGTTTAGTGAGATAACCAACACTTTGAACCAGAACAAGAGTCCACTTTAAACAGGTTGACGTCCAGCAAATCAAAGGCAGGTGCTAGGAAAGAGAAAAAAATGATGAATAAACACCAGCAGTCCATATTTAACATTAAGGCACAAACAATGTGGTGCAGAAGCTATTTTCTTTTACTTCAGATGGGTTTTCTGCAAATATCATAAGCTGCCACATAACGTCTTTTTGTATTTTTCACATTACTACAGTAGATTGTCTGAGAAGATGGAAAAAAACTGATAAAAAAGGAGGTAAATTTGGGACTTGATTGAAAATTTCCTGAAAAAGGAGATAAGCTCTAGGATTTAATTAAAGATTCCATCCCTCTTATGAAGTTAAATAATGATCGGAGAATCTATAAAGAAAGAAAGAATAAATGATTAATATGCCTTGATGTATGAACACAAATTTCTTGACACTATTCTTTCTTTAATTTTGTAGCTTTCCCTTTTGTTTGTCTATATCTGATACAATAGTCCCTAGCACACCATGCAACCAAACGATCTCATCAATATATGTTTTGACCAATTTCTCTAAAAAAATATAAAATTCATAGATACATTCACCCATTTCCACTGAGGTATGGGCAATGACTCTTAATGTTTTCAAGTGTTTTCTTATGCTCAAATTTAACTTACTCACAGATAAGACATTGTGAAACATATTCTGCAATTTATTTATTCAAAATATTCCATTAAAAATTTCCTCTTAAATCTTTGTACATCTTAATTCCACCTGAATGTATTATGAGCTTCCTTCGTTATCTCCTTTTTCAACTTTTGGTTATTAGGTACACGAATTCAACCAGCTTCATGAATTCTAAAGTCTGATTGAGATCCAGCTTCAATACTGTCCCAAATTTTCTTCAAGTGAACATTATGAACTTAAAGCAGTCTTAACTCTTTCAATTAATTTCACAAATCCACGCCATTTTTCAAATTAGTTCCTTGTGAAGCTGGAATTTGAGTAGATTCTGCACTTTCCTACAAAACTAATAAGGCCCTTTTACCTTCTTTACTCCAATGTTGTCATTTTTTTCTATCTGCATAATGCATTGATTTCAAGATATTGCAACACACAAGGCAGTTCCATTCCTTCCGATTATAATTTCCTTGCACCAAATCAGAGAAAAACTGCATATTTCATATAATTGTTTGATATTCTTAATTCATTTTCTATTTAGAAACAGTAGAAGAATACAAGCATTAAATAGTTATGAATCCTTCTCTAGCAAAGGCTTTTTAAATGGGCCTTGTTAGTACCAATTAGACATCTTTTATATGATTTTAATTACTAAAAAAGTGTTCTCGTTTGATTCCATGATGACAGAAGGAGAATATACTGTAGAAATATCTTCTTTCCTGTAGGATACCATAGTGACATTCATAATAGTAACTCCTTATCACATATTGTACACATTGATCAGCTATTTTGTTTTTAAACATTTTTTTATCTTTCCATGTCAATGTCTCTTTCTTTAGGGAATGAAAAACTCCCATATCTGGTGTTTCTGCACTCTTTAAATGAAGCACTTTCCCAGTTGGAGGTAAATAAATGGAGGCAGAATCCTCTTGGTCTAAATCAAGGCAAAAATGCACCATCCAACAGAATGTACGAACTAGAAGCCACACCTCTATAACAACCCTTTTCTTTCCGTCTACCACTGTCACTATCTAAACTATCTGATCTTTAAGGCAAAAGCATAATTACAAAATCCTGCCAGGATATATCTATTCTTTTTTTTTTATACAATACTATTGCCTACAACAACTGGATGAAACCAAAAGATATAAAGTATAATATATATAGGTTTAAAAGGTTATTCTAGCATCAAATCAAAATTCAGTGTGATCAAGTTGTGCTATGGTTAAAAAATATTATAAGAATATATGCTATTGTACAAACTTGACTTTACTTTGCTCTTTAATTTAATCTAGCCATGATCTAATGGAGCATAAATTGCTTGCAAAGCACCTTGGTTAATTTTTTTTGCTGCCACTTACCACCAATTATTTCTTGTACTCTTTCTTGTCCAGCCATTTCAGACTCCTTTCCTGCTTGTTTTAGTTGAAGGTATATCCTATACACCTAAGTGCTAAGGTGCAGTCCAAATAAAAATCCTATGTTATTTTGTTTTCATAATACAGAACACTATAAAGAAAACATATCTAAGCAAGAAAATTAGAAAATAAAATGTATGTCCTTCCTCAAGGGTTAGACTAGGGAAATGTATGTTCTTTTAACATAATTTGATGCCATCTACAAAGCCTAGAAACTAAAATTCAACAATTCAATTCTTATAATGCTTTCTAATCATCCACTAAACTGATACAAATTAAAATGACCCAAGTGGTGTTAGCACACAAAGGTGTGATCTCTCTGAGATAATATGAAAATAAAAAGAACTTTAGCTAGGATCTTATACACGAAATGCAAGTATTAAGAGCTCAAAAATTGCACAGAAAATTTCCACTCTTGCAAAATAAAGTCCTGAACCTGTGAAATCCTTGTACTTAAACTCTATTTGTATAAATGTGTTGTATGAACCACATGCAACATTAACTAAAAAACATTCTTGCAATATGTGCAGAAGAATACAGAGAATAAATACTAAATGAAATTTTATGACAAAAGAAAGTACCAGGAAAATTTGCCTCATGAAAAAACCGAATCGGCTTAGGGATATCACGACCCTCCACTGTAATCTCCCGCCTCTTCCGATATAGCATGACATCCTGTTCAGACATCGCCTGCACCGACAGGCTTTCAATATAGAAGTTTTTTTCAAACGGAATGAGATCATGAAAATTCTGCTTTGGAAGGGCGATTTTATCAAGATCGTCTGTTGACTTCACAGAGTCTCTACTACCATAACCACCCCGACCACCCCCGCGTCCTCCTTCAAACCTTCCCCTTCCGCATCGGCCACCGTCAAATCCCCCGCCCCTTCCACGGCCACCAAAACCTTGGCCCCTCCAAGCAGTGCCACCATCGCCAGTTCCACCACCCCTCCCTGACTGGAAACCACGGTCACCTACTCTTCCTGTTCCCCCACGACCTGAACGGCCGCCACCTCTACCGGAGTCAAATCTCCTTCCCCCAGCGCGGTCGACGTCGCTGGGCCTCCCGCCACCGCCTCCTGTGGCGAAGTGGGGGAAGGTGGAAGGGGCTGCGAAGCTACTATCGCTGCCCATATAAGAGCCCGTGTCGCCGCCTGCGACTCCACGCGCAGCGAAGCCCGGACCAGATTGCGAATGTAGCGGGTCGGATCCTACACCGCCGCCAATCGGAATCGGGGGGCCGTTCATCTCTGAGGGCGGCCGCATGAAATCGCTGCAGTGGCCGAAGAATGGGAAAGAAATTCAGCAAAATAAAGAATCGAAGAACAGAAAAGATGAATTGTTCTTCGTGCTACTACCCGGGCGAGGAAAGAAAACAGAGGGGGGAAAAAGAAATCTGACCTGCGCCTCTCTCGGTAGGAATTAGGATCGGCGTAGCGGAGATCGAAGGGATTCATCTTCGCTTCCTCGTCGCTCGTCGGTCGTCGCTCGTCTTCGAGGGAAGCGGATGGAGGCGCCTTAGGGTTTGCTTCGAGTTCGGGACAGGCGTTGTAGAATGGAACAATACGAGGCATATGGGACATAAGTAAAAGGGGCAATGCATCAGAAAAAGTGGCCCCTCTATTACTCGGGTGTTATTTTAGATAGATATGCACTCATTCATTCATTCATTCTATTAAATGATTTTATTTTCACTTATACGATTTTTTTTATGATTTCTCTCGAAAGGCTTTTTCTTTTGTTTTTTTAAAGATATTTCTTTTTAGCTTTTTCTTAAATAATACTTTTTAATTTAAAAATATCTAAACTATCCCTTAAAAGATTAATTATTATTTTTTTAGTTCATTATAGTGTTTTAATCTATTATAATATTTTTACTTATTATAATATTTTGATCATCATAATAAAAAATATAAAATCTATAATAAGATATTTTTTATTATAAATATCATCAAAAAGTAACATCCAATGATATAAAAGTCAAATTTTACTTATAAAGAATAAGTCGATTGATATATTTTCTCTAATTTTTAAAATAAACTCATTAAAAATTATTAGTGACTCATTATGATTTTAAGTTACATCATAAAGATGTGAAAATAAGTTTTCTAATTGGGGATATATATATATATATATATATATATATATATATATATATATATATATATAAACCTAAATGATTTATAGAAAAAAATATAAATTTTGATATATAAATTTAAGAAATTTATTTATAACCTTAAACAAGCCTCTAGATAATGATATATAAAGTTTCGTAATATCATTACTTTCTTTACATTTAAGAAAAATATTATTAAATTCTCTAAAGGAATTGATAACATAGTCAACAAAATTTATCCAATTATATTAAATTCTTAAATTCTCTAAAGGAATTGATAACATAGTCAACAAAATTTATCCAATTATATTGTATATATTATTAAAAAAAATGAGTATTATAGTTACTCTTATTTAATTTATGTAATCTTATATAAATTATATAATAATTTGTCTCTGTATTTTTTTTAATATACTAATGTCAACTTGAGGAGGGTTATCGAATGAAAAGATATATACTTTCTAATTTTTTTTACATACCTTACCCATATGAAATATTTTGAGAGTCATATATTAACATATCAAGAATTAAAGATAAACCTAAAAATAGTCTATCTATTTCTATATTACTAAATCTTGACATTGAGAAACAACTCCTCGTACTCTAAATAAACATCACGATACAATGAGATTCTATTTGGTTGATGAAAGTATAATTTAGGAGATTAAAAGTTTATATCAAAATTAACCACCTCCATGTTTCATGGTATTGAATTTAAGATCCAACTCATTAAACACATTAGTCTCCTCCAACATCTTGAGCATAAGGGTTTTTTATCCATCAAAATAATTATTTAAACACATACAAGGATAAATGGCATGTCAAAAAATAAAAAAAATATTCTTTTTTTAACTAAAAGAACTAGTATATGCATAAGTGCTATTTGAATTACTTTTGTATCTGTAAAATCCATAAATAAACCAAAACCACATAGTGTAACAAGCAAATATGAACATCCAATGTCTTACAGGTAAATCTTATGAACCAATTCTCAATAAGTACATCATGTGTTTGAGCCATCTTTGTTGCTCATAGGGTTAATTACCATGAGTTATAGTTACAGAAGCATGAAATGGTCACACAACTTGTACATGTTGAAAGATTCATGCAGAGGAAATCACAGCTACAATAACTTTGTTACATTATTTTTATCTTTTCCTATTATCAACCATATGGAACAAATTATGAATGGAAGACATAGGATAATAGTGAAAGGAAAATAAGATGAAATCATGTGTATATTTTGCATAGGTTCTATAGACTTGGGACTAAAAAGAAGTATGGAGGCACCATCTATTCCTGCAAGAATGAAATGTCTTTATCTTGTTGTTGAAAATTATGATTATGAATGATATGTTAGTTGAAGTTGATCATTTTTGGAAGGAGTATTACACGAATTTTATTAAATAACAAAACTTGTTCTTACATAGACATATTATATCATCTTCAACAATAAGCTGCTGTCCTCTTGCAATTGCAGTTTCAGTGTATAACACTAGTAATTCTCTCCACATAAATGTACAACATCATAAGTTGCATTGATACTTTATAATTCAATGATCAAATCTGTTTCCCAACTTTTATTGTGAGTTGTAGAAGTCTTACCATTCACTATAAAAAAGATAGATTAATTTATAGAGTGCTAGTAATAAAAGTTTATGATTTTTTTAAGAAAATAAATGAATACTCATTATTTGATATTTAATATTATACGATAGATAATGATGAAAGAAAAATACATAAGCTGGATCAACAAAATTCAGAAAACATCAATCAACAATAATAAGACCATGTAGTCTTTATTATGTTGAATACAATGATGTTATATTCGATAAGAAAATTCTAAGATAATAACATATAATAATAATAAGATATTATGCTAGACTTAATTAGATAAAAAAAATTTGAATTATTAGAATGCTAATCAAATAAAACCTATGCATGTCATGTTCAATATAGTTATCAATGATTCATTAATCCAACAATAGTCAACAAAATCTGGTCTATGGGTAAGAGTTAACTAGATAAGTTGGTCTCTTAATTGGTTAATTCATAGTGCCCCGAGACATGTATTTACATATTTATAATTGAAGTTGAGAGTAAACAAATGTCACTCATTCCTAAAATTAGGGTAAACTAGGATTGTCTTTGTCCTTCTTCCATGATGAACTCTTGTCAGATTCATCAGAAAATCTTCTGTAAAATTAAACAAATATATTAGAATCACATACATACTTTATATCATCATTTATTTACTATCTTTATTCAATCATTTAAGTCTAAGATCCGATTCATCAAACTCACCAGTTTTCTCCACCATCTCAAAGATAATTTTTTACCTATAAAAATAATTATCAAAATTATAAAGGATAAAACTAAATATTAATTTTTTTAGCTAGAGATAAAAATTTAAGCATCACTGTTATTTCAATTGCCTGTGGATTTCAATCTCAAAAAGAAACCATATATTGTTGAGTCATACCATTGCCATGAATCAATATCTGCAAAAGCATGAAATGTCCACAGATTCATGCAAAAGGAAATCATAATAAACTAACTTTCTTATAATTATTTATATTGTTTTTCACCAATCACTATTGATCGATCCAATAATGATTTAAATGAGCAAACATATTTTAGGTATTTTATATTTTATGTATCTTTTAAACTCAAATTAATTAAGATAAAAAAGTATTATAAACTACAATTAGCTACGATTGAAATTTTAAAGGGTAGACATGTCATTTAAAGTTTGCATAGGGTTAGAGATGTAGCCATACCCTCTCGTCGTTTGTCGTACCGCAGCGCTACCAGTTGCCGATTTAAGTCACGACATGAAGCGACGGAGGTCTTGCGGGATTTAGATCCGGCCCAAAATATGTGGACGATCGTTCTTAGATCCGTACCCAAAGAATAGGATCAGGTTGGCATTAGATCGATCGCACATCTTTTGCCTCGTTCTCTCCTCCGGAAGAATCATTCCGGGTCTCAAGGTATGCGAGCATTGAGAATGGGGGCAGGGCACGTCGAGATCGGTTCTTGTGGATGTTCTCATGGTCAATGCGGTGCTTGTTGAATCCATCTCTAGACTTCCTTTCTCTATATATATGGCAAGACTTACAGGAATGTTGGATCAAAATGTGATCTTGCTTGCCTTTTCCTCTCTGTTCTTAGGGTTGGTATGCAAGATCTCTACGTTTCTGATCCTTTCTTTTCTTATTTGGCTTCCTCTCTCACTCGACATCGGATCCGATCTTTTGCGTCGCTCTCAGGTCTCGAGGTATGCTGCAAGCATCAAAACGGAGGCAGGTCGAGATCTGTTCTTGTCGATTTTTTCATGGTCAATGTGGTGCTCGTGGAATCCGTCTCTAGATTTCTTTCGAGAATGTTGGAGCAAAATGTGATCTTTGTTGCCTTTCCCGCTGTTCTTAGGGTTGTCTCCGTCGAAGATTCTTAGAAATCGACCTATAATTCTTTGTTAGGTTATTCAAAACCCTAATGTTTCATACCCCTTCTTTCAAATTTTATTTTCTTCTCTGAAGATTGTCGAGAATTTTGGGTCAGAGCGCAGTCTTTGATATATTATGGGATGATATAAGCCAATTTCCCTCACAAAAGAGAAAAGAAGAACACACTACTTTTTCTTTTGCCATCCTCTATTTGTTTTGTAGGTTGTGTTTATTTAGATTTAGGCTACCAATGATTTTGTTCTTCTTGCAGCAGTTGGCTATTTTCTTGTATTATCTTTCATCTCCTTCACTGATCTCGATTCAATGTGAGATTCTTGATGTTTTTGATCAACATGAAAAGACGCGGAGTCGACTATATAATCTATTGATTCATGTTCTCCATGCTCTGATATAAAAGAACAAAAGCCATTTCTCTGTCTGAGGCCACAATTTGGTCCTTTGTCAGACCCTGTCTGTCATGCCTCTCAAGGCCTGTTCATGGATTCCATTCTCTCTCAGGACTCTTTGCTCGTCTTCTGTATTTCCACCACATCTCTCTCTCTCTCTCTCTCTCTCTCTCTCT